CCATCCGCATTGGTGTTGCCCTTCGACTTGCCGCCCCCTATTCTTTCCGAACACAGGTGTATTTCCAGCACTGAAGCAGCAGACCGATTTGAGCACCACGGTCTTGTGTGCCATAAATTCGAGGGAAAGATTGCAAGGCATTGATAAATACATGAGTGGGTGTGGGTGGGTGTGAGTTGGACCTGACTAGCTTGTGCTGCTAGGTCGGATGCCGTGCTCCTCCCTTAATTGACGTGTCTGACCTCAGTAGGTCAAGGCATTGGCTTAAGCCGGTGTGAAAATTGGACATGCCTCGCATAGGCCAGTAGGACTGTTGTAGTGTTCCTTCTTTCTTATGCTCGTATTATCAAGAGGAGCAGTAAGGGTGCCACCCTAACTATGCAGATCTGATGGCAGCTAGAAGCGTCCAGATGGTATCACCGTTCAAGCCTGGATAGACGGCAAGCAAGTGGTGTGGACTGCACATGTGTTTCTACCTTGGCTGATGCCTATCTCAAATACACCAGGGAGGAAGGAGGCAGCTGCCAGCTTCAGGGAGTCCCAAAAGTCTAGAAAACATGGAGAACATTTAAGCCAAAATCGCAAGTTTTATATATTTTATATTATATATATATATATATATATATATATATATATAATATATATATATATAACATGGCAGGTGTGAAACAGGAGAACAGGTGTGACCCAGATGAAGGTCAGGTGTGACACAGGTGAAGGTCAGTTGCGGTAATCAGAGGGGAGGTCAGGTAAACCTACAGATGCTGAAGTAAGAGTGAAGATGAGGGAAGAGGTGAACCAGGTAAGTGTAGGTAGGTGAGGAAGATGGGAGAGAGAGAGAGAGAGAGAGAGAGAGAGAGAGAGAGATGGCTTGAGAGGGGAAGAGAGGGTCATTATATGAGGTGGGGAGGGTAGTGGACAGGGCCACAAGCTCCCCACCTAATTTGTGTGCCAATCATCGCCTCGAAGGCGGCCTAGGGAGAGGGGCGTCTATAGATAATTGAGTGAGGGGAGGCATGTGTTTTGGGTGCGGTGGGGGACGAGGTGGAGGAAACGGTGGTGGAGAAGGGGAACGTGAGAAAGAGGGGAATAAAAAAGGTGAGAGATGGGAGGGAGGAGGAGGGGGAGCCACAGTAACAATATTTGGTCAAGTGGGGAGAGCAGGAGGGGAGGAAGACACTCGTGGTCAACACCCCACGGGGAGGATAATTACACAGATACAAGACGCTAAAGAAGGAACATTATAAGACAAGATAAAGAAGTAAAAAGATGAAGAAAAGACAAGATAATGATAGAAGATAAAGAAGTAAAAAGATGAAGAGAAGATAACGAAGATGAGAAGATAAAGATGAAAAGAAGAAGAAAAGAGGATATAAGGAAGAATATAAAGAAAAGAAGATAAAGGAAGAAGAAAGACATAGTAACACTAGTTATATTATACTCTCTTGATGGACTTAATGAAGGAAGGAAGGAAGGAAGGAGAGGGGGGAAGGTGGGAAGGAGGAAGAGAAAGGAAGAAGAAATGGAAGGGGAGGTTAGAAGGAGGGAAAGAGAGGAAGAAAGAGGAGGAGGAGATGGGGAAAGATTTATGTCTTCATCACAGCTGGTAATAATGATGGGAGGTTCTCTCTCTCTCTCTCTCTCTCTCTCTCTCTCTCTCTCTCTCTCTCTCTCTCTCTCTCTCTCTCTCTCTCTCTCTCTCTCTCTCTCTCTCTCCTCTCCCTCACCCTTGTCACATAACACTCAGATTGTCCCCATTTTTTCTTTCTCGTTTTTACTGTCCTGTTGTATCTTAGATTCTGCTCTCTCTGCCCTTCCACTTTCCCTACCCTCTACTTTCCCTACCCTCTCACTTGGCCCTAACCCTCTCACTTGCCCTACCCTCTCACTTGCCCTACCCTCTCACTTACTTGCCCTACCCCTCTCACTTGCCCTACCCTCTCACTTGCCCTACCCTCTACTTGCCCTACCCTCCACTTTCCCTACCCTCTCACTTGCCCTACCCTCTCACTTTCCCTACCCTCTCACTTGCCCCTACCCTCTCACTTGCCCTACCCTCTCACCTTTCCCTACCCTCTCACTTGCCCTACCCTCTCACTTTCCCTACCCTCACTTTCCCTACCCTCTCACTTGCCCTACCCTCTCACTTTCCTACCCCCTCACTTGCCCTACCCTCTCACTTTCCCCTACCCCTCTCACTTGCCCTACCCTCTCACTTTCCCTACCCTCTCCACTTTCCTACCCTCTCACTTGCCCTACCCTCTCACTTTCCCTACCCTCTCACTTGCCCTACCCTCTCACTTTCCCTACCCTTCACTTTCCCTACCCTCTCACTTGCCCTACCCTCTCACTTTCCCTACCCTCTCACTTCCCTACCCTCTCACTTGCCCTACCCTCTCACTTTCCCTACCCTCTCACTTTCCCTACCCCCTCACTTTCCCTACCCTCTCACTTTCCCTACCCTCTCACTTGCCCTACCCTCTCACTTTCCCTACCCTCTCACTTGCCCTACCCTCTCACTTTCCCTACCCTCTCACTTTCCCTACCCTCTCACTTGCCCTACCCTCTCACTTGCCCTACCCTCTCACTTTCCCTACCCTCTCACTTTCCCCTACCCTCTCACTTTCCCTACCCTCTCACTTTCCCTACCCTCCTCACTTTCCCTACCCTCTCACTTTGCCCTACCCTCTCACTTCCCTACCCTCTCACTTGCCCTACCCTCTCACTTCCCTACCCTCTCACTTTCCCCTACCCTCTCACTTTCCATACCCTCTCACTTTCCCTAACCCTCCCCACTTTCCCTACCCTCTCACTTCCCTACCCTCTCACTTTCCCTTCCCTCTCACTTGCCCCTTCCCTCTCACTTGCCCCTTCCCCCTCACTTGCCCCTTCCCTCTCACTTGCCCCTTCCCTCTCACTTGCCCCTTCCTCTCACTTTCCCCTTCCCTCTCACTTCCCCCTTCCCTCTCACTTTCCCCTTCCCTCTCACTTCCCCTTCCCTCTCACTTTCCCTTCCCTCTCACTTGCCCCTTCCCTCTCACTTGCCCCTTCCCTCTCACTTGCCCCTTCCCTCTCACTTGCCCCTTCCCTCTCACTTGCCCCTTCTCTCTCACTTTCCCCTTCCCTCTCACTTCCCCCTTCCCCTCTCTTAATCACTTTCCCGCTTCCCTCTCATTGCTTCATCCCTTTTTCACTTGTTCCTTTTCCCCTTTTCATTGCGTTTCCCTCTCTCCCCTTCCCTAACGCTCTCACTTCACCCTTTCTTCATTTCCCCTTCCCTCTTCCTTCCCTGCCCTCTCACTTAATACTTTCCTCCTCTTGCTCTTCTCTCTTGTTCATCCTTTCTCACTCTATTCTGTTCCTTTTCTCCACCCTGTTAGCGTTTCCCTCCTCCTCTTCCCAACCCTCTCACTCACCCATATTTATGTTCCCCCTCACTCCTCCTCTTCTCGCCCGTCCTGCTTTCACTGTAATAAGTTTAATTTCCCTCATATGCTCAGTCAAACTCACTATGTCTTTTTCTCTTCACTTTCGCTCTCATCTCTTCTTCTTTGACAAATCCCCACTATCTAAATGTCCATTACTTGGAGGGTTTTCGGGTGGTCCAACGACCCCTGACGCACGGTTCCCATATGGCCTCGTGGTGGATTAGGGCTGATCACTAGCTGTTACGTAATAAAGTGGTAAATACCCCACAATATGTAAAGTAAAAGGGCAAAAGTGCAGCTAATGTGACTTTTTTATTGTGGCAAACGTTCCGCTCTCCAGTAGCTTGTCAATGGCTTGACAAAGCTCCCGGAGAGCGAAACGTTGCCACAATAAAAATGTCACATTAGTTGCACTTGTGTCCTTTTACTTTACATACGGGCTGTTGCTGTTGGCCACACGCAAACCGACGTACCAACCACAGCCCGGCTGGTCTGGTACTGACTTTAGGTGTCTGTCCAGCTACCTCTTGAAGACAGCCAGGGGTCTATTGGTAATCCCCCTTATGTATGCTGGGAAGCTGTGGAAAAGTCGTGGACCCCTTGCACTTACTGTATCAGAGGTCCACGGTGCCCCTGCTTTTCATTGGGGGGACATTGCACCGCCTGCCGAGTCTTTTGCTTTCGTAGGGAGTGATTTTCGTGTGCAAGTTTGGTACTAATCCCTCTAGGATTTTCCAGGTGTAGATTATGATGTATCTTTGTCGCCTGCGTTCCAGGGAGTACAAGTTAAGGGGCTTCAACCGTTCCTTGTAATTAAGGTGTTTGTACATATACGTACAGTGTATATTCTCTAGATCTGCAATTTCACCTGTCTTGAATGGATCTGTTATTGTACAGCAATACTGCAGCCTAGAGAGAACAAGGGATTTAAAGACGATCATTGACACGGCATACTGGATAGTTACCTGTCCGTCAGTCCCCACTAGTTATATCTCCTGGATAGTCCCCTATCCATCAGACTCACTAGTTTCGTCCCTTGCATAGTTCCCTATCCTCTAATTCTCCTAAATTAACGAAACTCTTTCAGAAATTAGAACAAATACTTTGCACCGCAACTTCAGTTGTCCATCAACTGCAGCTCAGAGAGCAAGATTGATTGAAATTGATGATAATTGATGTCTTCTACACGATGGGACATAAATTGTCATCAAATTCACAATGGACTTAAGCTTTCAGTTACGTCAGAAGACACGTCACTAATAATAATAATAACAGTAACAATAATAATATAATAATAATAATAATACTAATAGTAATTATAGTAGTAGTAATAGTAATATAACAATAGTTATAATAGCAATGATAATAGTAATACTACTAATAGTAATTATAGTAGTAGTAATAGTAATATAACAATAGTTATAATAGCAATGATAATAGTAATACTACTAATAGTAATTATAGTAGTAGTAATAGTAATATAACAATAGTTATAATAGCAATGATAATAGTAATACTACCACTACTACTACTAATAGTAATGATAATAATAGTAATAATATTTTGTTTCAGATACTTGAGGAAGAACGAGATTAGCGTCATTGAGCCGGGAGCCTTCACTAATCTCACCAACCTACGAAAATTGTGAGTATTGCTTGAGGCTGTACGCTGGTGGTCACCCAGGCTGTTGTTGCTGGCAGCCAGCATGCTGGGTGTCATACACACCTTGATGTCTTTAAAGATATCTACTTGTGGGTTGATAGATCTTGTAGATATCTACTTGTGGGTTGATAGATCTTGTAGCTATCTACTTGTGGGTTGATAGATCTTGTAGATATCTACTTGTGGGTTGATAGATCTTGTAGATATCTACTTGTGGGTTGATAGATCTCTTGTAGATATCTACTTGTGGGTTGATAGATCTTGTAGATATCTACTTGTGGGTTGATAGATCTCTTGTAGATATCTACTTGTGGGTTGATAGATCTCTTGTAGATATTTTTGTACCTTTAATATACTTTTGATGAGTTTCGCGAGTTTTCTACTCCCGGAGCCCGGCCATGGACCAGACTCGTCTGATGCTTGCCTGGTCAACCAGACTGTTGCTGCTGCTGGTCCGCTGATTCACATATCCATCACAGCCTGGTTGATCTGGCACCTGGTGAAGATACTTGTCCAGTTTCCTCTTCAAGACTTCTACTCGTGTCCCAGCAGTGTTTCTGATATCTTCTGAGAAGATGTCGAAGAGTCTGGGACTACGGATGTTGATACAGTGTTCCCTTATTGTGCCCACTGCACCCCTGCTTTTCACTGGGTTTATTCTGTACTTCCTCCCATATCTCCCAAGACAGATACATTCCGAAACACTCACAATATCCTAAACATAATAGACAAAATGACACATTACCATGTATGCGACATTTTTATTGTGGCAACGTTTCGCTCTCCAGGAGCTTTGTCAAGCCGTTACAAACAATACAGGGACACAGAGGCATTAGTGAGGTGCAAGGCATAATATAATCCTTGTAGGCAATAGTAATACTAGTAGTAGTAGTTGTATTATTACTTGTGGTGGTAGTAGTAGTGGTGGTGGTGGTAGTTGTAGTAGTGGTGGTAGTTGCAGTAGTGGTGGTAGTTGCAGTAGTGGTCGTGGTAGTAGTATTGGTGGTGGCGGTAGTAGTAGTGGTGGTGGTAGTAGTAGTGGTGGTGGTGGTAGTTGTAGTAGTGGTGGTAGTAGTAGTGGTGGTGGTAGTTGTAGTATTGGTGGTAGTTGTAGTAGTGGTGGTAGTTGTAGTAGTGGTCGTGGTAGTAGTATTGGTGGTGGCGGTAGTAGTGGTGGTGGTGGTGGTAGTTGTAGTAGTGGTGGTAGTTGTAGTAGTGGTCGTGGTATTTAGTATTGGTGGTGGCGGTAGTAGTTATAGTGGTTGGTAGTAGTAGTGGTGGTGGTAGTTGTAGTAGTGGTGGTAGTTGTAGTGGTGGTAGTTGTAGTAGTGGTCGTGGTAGTAGTATTGGTGGTGGCGGTAGTGGTGGTGGTGGTAGTTGTAGTAGTGGTCGTGGTAGTAGTATTGGTGGTGGCGGTAGTAGTAGTAGTGGTGGTAATAGTAGTGATGGTGGTAGTTGTAGTAGTGGTGGTAGTTGTAGTAGTGGTGGTAGCTGTAGTAGTGGTCGTGGTAGTAGTATTGGTGGTGGCGGTAGTAAGTGGTGGTGGTAGTTGTAGTAGTGGTGGTAGTTGTAGTAGTGGTGGTAGTTGTAGTAGTGGTGGTAGTTGTAGTAGTGGTCGTGGTAGTAGTATTGGTGGTGGCGGTAGTAGTAGTGGTGGTGGTGGTGGTAGTTGTAGTAGTGGTGGTAGTTGTAGTAGTGGTCGTGGTAGTAGTAGTGGTGGTGGTGATGGTAGTTGTAGTAGTGGTGGTAGTTGTAGTAGTGGTGGTAGTTGTAGTAGTGGTGGTAGTTGTAGTAGTGGTCGTGGTAGTAGTAGTGGTGGTGGTAGTTGTAGTAGTGGTGGGTGGTAGTTGTAGTAGTGGTGGTAGTTGTAGTAGTGGTGGTAGTTGTAGTAGTGGTGGTAGTTGTAGTAGTGGTGGTAGTTGTAGTAGTGGTCGTGGTAGTAGTATTGGTGGTGGCGGTAGTAGTAGTGGTGGTGGTGGGTGGTGGTGGTGGTAGTTGTAGTAGTGGTGGTAGTTGTAGTAGTGGTCGTGGTAGTAGTGGTGGTGGTAGTTGTAGTAGTGGTGGTGGTGGTAGCAGCAGCAATGTGATAGCCGGGTTTATTGTTTTGAGGAGGATTCTTGCTAATATTTCAGAGATGTTGAAGGTGTCTTTATTGTGTTATAAATAGCGATTAATGATGATTCATGACATTTAAGTCAAAGGAAACTGGGTCACGTTAGTTGCACTTGTGACCTTTGACCTAATATATTGTCGGTAATTCTACCAACATTATTACCATCCTGAATATGATGTTTGTGTTGCAAATATGATGTTTGTGTGATAATTGCACCATAGCAGCAATAGACACTCTCTACTAAGAATGATGTAGAGACATACAAGACCGTAGATAAACACTGAGAAATGAAGAGAAGTTTGGGAGGGGAGGAGAAAGTAGCATCTTCAGGCACTGTGAAGTACCAGCCCTGACAGTGAGAGTCATGTAGGCAGTGAAATACACCAGGAAATGATGTGGGGATAGTGAAATGTGTGTGTGTGTGTGTGTGTGTGTGTGTGTGTGTGTGTGTGTGTGTTACCATTTTTGTCCTAGGCACATGTCGATTAGACACTAGGCCTGTTTTATATGAGTACGTGTGTGTGTGTTAGTTACCATTTTGTCCTAGGCACATGTCTGTGTGTGTGTGTGTGTGTGTGTGTGTGTGGGTGTGGGTGTGTGGGTGTGTGTGGGGGTGTGTGGGGGTGTGGGTGTGTGTGGGTGTGTGTGGGTGTGTGGGTGTGTGTGTGTGTGTGTGTGTGTGTGTGTGTGTGTGTGTGTGTGTGTGTGTGTGTGTGTGTGTGTGTACGACTGTGTATCACAGTGATGGATGGGAGATCTTAGTCACTTGTCATAGGTGGGTAACCCCCCCCCCCCCTCTTCCCCTTACAAACACGAACAAGGAGTCACAGCTGGAAGTTGAAAACTTACATGAGTCACAAGGATGTTAGGAAGTATTTCTTCAGTCATAGAGTTGTCAGGGAGTGGAACAATCTGGAGAGTTATGTAGTGGAGGCAGGAGCCATATAGAGATATGATAAACCTCATGGAGCAGGGAGAGAGTGGACCTAGAAGCAACCAGCGAAGAGGCGGGGCCAGGATATGTGACTCGACCCTTGCAACCACGTATAGGTGATTACACACACACACACACACACACACACACACACACACACACACACACACACACACAGTTCCTCACAAGAGGTTACTGCAAAAGCTAGAGGATCAGGCACACATAACAGGAAAGGCACTGCAATGGATCAGAGAAGACCTGACAGGAAGGCAACAACGAGTCATGGTACGTGACGAGGTGTCAGAGTGGGCGCTTGTGACAAGCGGGGTTCCACAGGGGTCAGTCCTAGGACCTGTGCTGTTCTTGGTATATGTGAACGACATAACAGAAGGGATAGACTCAGAAGTGTCCTTGTTTGCAGATGATGTGAAGTTAATGAGAAGAATCAAATCGGATGAGGATCAGGCAGGACTACAAAGAGACCTGGATAGGCTACAAGCCTGGTCCAGCAACTGGCTCCTTGAGTTTAACACTGCCAAATGCAAAGTCATGAAGATTGGGGAAGGGCAAAGAAGACCGCAGACACAATATAGTTTAGATGGCCAAAGACTGCAAACCTCACTCAAGGAAAAAGATCTGGGGGTGAGTATAACACCGAGCATATCTTCTGAGGCGCACATCGATCAGATAACTGCTGCAGCATACGGGCGCCTGGCAAACCTACGGATAGCGTTCCGATACCTCAGTAAGGATTCGTTCAAGACTCTGTATACCATTTACGTCAGGCCCATACTGGAGTATGCAGCACCAGTTTGGAATCCACACCTAGTCAAGCACGTCAAGAAATTAGAGAAAGTGCAAAGGTTTGCAACAAGGCTAGTCCCAGAGCTACGGGGATTGTCCTACGAAGAAAGGTTGAGAGAAATCGGCCTGACGACACTGGAGGACAGGAGGGTCAGGGGAGACATAATAACGACATATAAAATACTGCGCGGAATAGACAAGGTGGACAAAGACGGGATCTTCCAGACATGGGACACAGACACAAGAGGTCACAATTGGAAGTTGAAGACTCAGATGAATCAAAGGGATGTTAAGAAGTATTTCTTCAATCATAGAGTAGTCAGACCGTGGAATAGCCTAGAAAGTGACGTAGTGGAGGCGGGAACCATACATAGTTTTAAGGCGAGGTATGATAAAGCTCATGGGGCAGGGAGAGAGAGGACCTAGTAGCAATCAGCGAAGAGGCGGGGCCAGGAGATATGACTCGACCCCTGCAACCACAAATAGGTGAGTACAAATAGGTGAGTACACACACACACACACACACACACACACCTGTTTGTGTTTGTCTTCTGGGGTGGGGGTCGAGTATTGGTTCCTGGCTCCGTCTCTTAATCGTTCATCTAGCAGCATTACTTGTTTCTCTCCTCTTGAGCACATTCGTACCTACTCTTGAAGCTGTGCATTGAGTTGACATACACTCCAATGCCACGTACAGTTCATTCCACTTCCCTCATACGCCGAGACTGAAAAAGTACTTCCCAAAACCCCAGTGACTTACCTGTGTTGTTAACTGAGTTGGTATAGTGGTAGTGGGGGTTTTAGTGGGTTATCTGGGTGGTGGTGGTGGTGGGAGAGAGGACACACACAAGGGGTCGTTAAATGGTAACCAAATGGTCGTTGTGTCAGGGCAGTGTTGACACTGTAAATACTGTCCTTACCCCTCCTCCTCCCCCCCTGCCTTGTTGTGCGTTGCTCTCTGAGTGCTTGACAGGCAAGAGGAAGGCAGGGAGGGAGGAAGGTAGGCAGGCGGGCAGGGAGGGAGGAAGGTAGGCAGGCGGGCAGGGAGGGAGGAAGGTAGGCAGGCAGGCAGGGAGGGTAGGATGCAACGAGGAAGGTAGGCAGACAGACAGGCAGTGATTTGAGGGTGAG